GGGGGGGGGGCGTGGATGTTGCAGGAGTGGTGCAACATAAAAAGACTTTTCATAACTGCCAGCAAAAATGGAAGTTCAAAGTTTGCCATCAGTAGAATTCTTGAAACTTACATCAAGAGTTTGTCCTTCAAAGTCCATACAAATTAAATGATACTTACACAGTGGCTAAAGTCATGGACTATGGAACGCAAGTTCCCTATCCCACGCAATAATTAAGCCGGGAGACTTCAAGTAGACCTTCACAACTAAAGGCAACAGACATTTGTATCACATGTTTTATAAGCAAGGGATCAGTAGTGGTAAGGTCCCTTTTAGGGATTTTGATCAGTCAGTCATAGTTTGGCAAAGCAAAGTCACAGCAAAGAAGAGTATGAGGCAGAATCGTTTGTCGGTTGGGCCCCTAAAGACAGGGGTATCCTCCACTGGTATGGTGGTCACGTTGTTAAAGTGGGACAATGCCAGATTTTGTACAAAATCCTCCCTAAACAGGTAACAGGCTAATAAGCACTTTAGAGGGGGAGCAAAAAACATGTGAGGGTGTTTCCAATTATCAAAGAGAGAGAGAGTTGGAAAAATGGGTGCCATAGAAAACCGTTGTGGTCTTAGGAGCATTAAAGGACCCAAGACTAGAAACAGCACTAATAAAAGCAACAGGTTGAACCTCTAGTTTCAGAGTGATGCACACGCCATCCATAAGAGTCATAACTGTCTCTTAACTTTGGAGTCCTACCAGTCGACTGCAACTCTTTAGGGGCAAGTAAATCCATCAAAAACTGGAGTTAGGCAGTCATGCAACTAATAGGTCATAAGCCACAAATGCCACAGGTAAATCTATAAAGATCCTCAGGGGAAGGTGCAGAGGCATGCTTGTAGCCTCCACAGTCAGAGTCAGCAAATACAGTACCTCTGAAGTCTTGCATGACTGGAGCAACATCATCAGCTGAGAGGGCAGAAGAGCTGGCTTTACCCGATGAAGCTAGTGAGGACCCCAAAGATGGGATACACGCTATGATCAGAGTGCAACTTGATTTCAGGCTGAAGATATTGGCTGCATCAATGGGCATGCTGCAGGCAGCACTGGAGCCATTAGTAGAGCGTGAGACTGAAGAGGCAGACAGGGTGGGGCAGTACTAGGAGACAGTCAGATGTGCTGCAGTGTACTGTGCTGAGAAGGAACATACCGACAAGAGGAAAGAATCACGACCTCAGACTGCTGATTCTTTACTTTCCAAACACAGGCAGGGGACAGGGAGGTGGCCAAACTGTATTGTTGAATAGCAATGGAGAAAAGTCAGGTCGCCAGCCTGGTAGGGAGATTTGGCAGGCTTAGGCAATTTCCAGGACTGGATGGACACACACACAAAAAAAATACATTTGTAGGGTGAAAGAGCTTCCATATATGTATTTCAACTGTATATTTCAGATAATTTGTCTCAAGTTCAGGTTTAAAAGCTTTGGATATTGCTTATTCAGCTTCAGAATCTGAACAAGGAACTTTTAAGTTTAGAATTCTCATCCAGAAACTCTGGCAATTATTTTTAATGATTCACTAGTGAAGGCAATTTCTCTTACCAAACACACGTTTTACTTGTGTATATTCAGAGCTTTAACAACACAGGGATTAAATATTTATGTAAATAGGAATTTTTCACAAACTACTACATTTCTGTGTAGGACTTGTTTCCAGTAAAAGCAGATTATCATACAAGGAAGGCAGCTTAGATGTGCATATAAGGGAATGAAATGAGCTTGAGCCTGTAAGAGCTCACAGAAACAACTAATGGTATGCAGGTCTCATGTATCAAAGTCCAAGAGGACACGGAGTCAATGAAAAGCCTAAATACACACATATGTAAATAGAAAAGACAAGAAAATGCAAGCAATAGGAGAAAAAATACTCATTAAAGGAGAACTATGAGGTGAGTGCTTTTCACTCACCTCATAGTTCTAGCCGACCTGTGACAATGAGACTGTCACAAGTCGGCTCAGTAGATCGGGAGATGAGCGAACACATACCGGTATTCGCTGATCGGGAGATGAGCGAACACATATCCGCGTTCGCTCACCTCTCGATCCTGTCATGGCTCTCTGCCGTGACAGGGAAGGGGCTGGATTCCCCCCTCAACGCTCCGATCCGCCAGCGCTGACTGGCGGAACGGACGGGGGAGGGTACAGCTGGCTCTGCCACTAGATAGGCAGAGCCAGCTGTCAGGCACGCAGCTGGGCGTATCCCGGCATAATTGTCGGGATCCGCTTCAGCTGTGGCGTCTCAGTATACCGCGAGCTACAGCGGTATACTGAGCCTAGGGTGACGGGAGGACGCTAGTTTGTGTCCTCCCGTTACCCTAAGGAGAACTATGGGGAAAAGCCTTAACCCCATAGTTCTCCTTTATTGTAGATAGGGAGGGATGCAGTAAGGGGATGCATTTTAGTGTATTCATTGCATAGGCTAGTGCTCTGAGATTTTTTACTATAGAAAGTGATTATTTAAAACAAAACAGTTATAACATCTTAGTCTGAATTCATTGTATAATTGTGCATACCTAAACTATAGTGTGTTACAATAAAAAGACTGCCCACCAGCCCTACCATGACCTATTTCTTGGTTTTATAGTCCGGAGTCAATACAAGTACCCTGCTTATAATTTGGGATCTAAAGTACATTTCACAGGCAAACCTAAAACCCCACCACATATACCCCCAGATGCTAAGCCCAGCCATGGTCTCCATGTCAGCTATTGATGGGTAAACATACTGAAACATACTTCCAGGAAAAGGAAATGTATGTACCAGCCGATGGATTGTTAAGCTGTATATACGGATCCTTGCTAGGTGTTAATTCATAAACATTATTACCATTATTATGCATATGCAATAAGAAAAGTCCATCTTCTGTTCCCAAAGCAATTCGTTCTTGATCTGAAAGAAGAATGAACACTGTAAATTGTCACCATCAGATGATTGTAATCTATTATCACAAGACAATGGTTGCTTAAAGTATTTGCGTTAAAAGCAAATAACACATATGAAGCATGTGTGTGTCTGAATATTTCCATGTCAGCTGAACAGTCATTTATAAAAACCAGCCAGAAACACCTGTTTAGGGAATATAATGAATAAAGTTAAACTCTTGGCAGAAATGAAAGACTCAAATGACGCAGCCCTGTATGCATCACAAATTTTTTTTTTTTTTAAATAAAAGCAGTGTAACTACCGCAATTCAACTTGATGTCAGCCTCTTGCACTCACTGTACAGCAAAGTTCAGACTTGAGGAGGGAGAATCAGCACAAGTAGCCAATTAGTTGTGCTGCAGTGCAAACAGCTCGTTGATAGGAGAGAGCAGAGTGAAAAAGAGATGCAATCATATGTGTTCCGCTTCTCCTTTCACGGTTTATTCATAGGCTTGGTGAGGGACAAGACCTGTAAAGATTTATTTAACTGCAGCAGAGAAAAAAGTCAGGTCTTCTACCCTGCCAGATAGGGCTGTGGCATCTCTGTAAATCAAAAGACTTGATGAACAAAAATGCAAATCCTTTGGCAGATAAAAAAAAGCTTCCTGAAAGCAGGAGTTTAGCTTTACGCTCATATCTGCTCTAAGGCTGGGTTCACATCTCAGCGTATTGGAAACTCGCGTTTGCCGCGCGGTTTTACAGCGATTTGCGGTAAAAGAAACGCGCGTCAAACGCGCGTTTCTGATGGGGAATTCAGCTGATACGGGCGTCAATACGCCCCAAAGAAGCTCATGTACTTCCTTGGGCGTATGTCGTTTTACCACGCGATCGAACGGGCGGTAAGACGCGCAGGCGAGAACCATACCCATAGGCAACCATGGGTTTTCACCTGTTGCGCGTTTTACCGAGCGTAGGAACGTGCTGTAAAACGCTCAGGTGTGAACGGGGCCTAAAGGTGGAGCACAGAAACAAACCATTATATTGTGATCACATTACCTATGATTGCTGCACACTGTGCTGTCCTTATTAGTGGCAATGCACTATCATAAGCCTCCTTCAGTAACCGGACTGAGCAATCTTGTGGCTTCTGCTCATTCAGGAGTGACCTGAGCTCATTCAGTACCTGAACCCACTTCTGCATATCCTCCCCAGTGTCTGCCAGCAGGAGCTGAGTGGATGTGATGGGTGGGGATGAGAGCTGAAAGAACGTTACCTGCAATGCATGTAAATGACATAACATGTGAGTGCCATCAAAGTCTGGAACATTCAGAAACACCAGTACATATACAGCGATTATCTGCTGATGGTAAAAAAAAAAAAAAGCACTCAACAGCATGAGATCAAAAGGGAACTTTTGGAGCAGCAAAACTACCTGGAAACACAGTAAACCTTTGTCAAGTTAAAAGAGTAAAATGTGAAATACAGTATCTTGCTGGATTTTATTTTATTTTTTTAATAAGTATTGGGAGTGCTTATGTCTTACCCGGAATATACAAGGAATGTCTTTGGGGTTTGCATGAATCACATCAGACTCCAACACTGAACTGACTGAAAAATGACGGTCCCTGGAAAGAAATGGGAAAAATAAGAAAAAAGTAATCTAATTTAGTGGTAAAGTGACAAGACAGGGAAAGTATTGTAAGTGATCACTTAAAGACTGCCGGCCCCTAATTGTAATACAAGATTGGAGTGGGAATTTAGAAAGGTTCCCAGAATGTCTGAAATGTTCAATAAAGTCAAAAGGACTTATCTACATACTTGGTTCAGTCCAGCGAGACTCCGTATTGGTGCAAAAGGGTCAACATGAGAGCCAAGCAAGTAACATCTTCAGGAGACACGGTCAGCAATAACAGTCTCCTTGTTTCTCTCCTGACAGGTATCCTTTAACCCTTTCGCTGCCAAGCCCTCCGGAACATTTTTCAAATCAGCTGGCCAAGCCATTTTTGATTTTTCTGCAATTTTTTACTATTGATTTGATTTTCAACTGCTGCGTTGCTAGCGTTTGTAAAAGACCCCCCAAACCATATATTTTCTGAAAGCGCAGGCCCGGTAGAATAAAAAGATGGTGATACTAAATTTGTAGGACAGCTGTAAATGCCAGGTCCGTACGGCATACTTAGCTGGCCAGCTGGAAGCACTTTTGTAGCTCCGTATGCCGTACGTCCTTGGCAGCGAAAGGGTTAATATAACCTCTAGTGGCCACTAATGCAGACAAAGCAAAGTTCAATGATCCCCTATTAATCCATCGATCACCTAACCCACAGTCTCTATATTATCTCCTTCTGCAGCAGTCTGTGGGAGTGGAGGGCTCATATAGCACAGATCATAAGTTTAACTCATAAAAATTGAACCATTATGCATAGGCACCACACCCCTAAATAGAAATGTATTAAAGCCCTGCTTTTCTCTATTTTCTTTGTAGCACAGATCATAGATAGCTACAGGCAGGAGCATTGTAGGACTACACTGCCACACAAAGTTCTTATGAGACAGCACACCTGAAACCATTGTGTACAGTGTAATGTAAGCTGACACTATAGGGGGCGAGTCATTAAAGGCATTGCGACGCAATTGCTGCATTATGGTTGTATCTAGAACACTTGGACCAAATTCATGAAAAGGTTATCGATATTAACTATAAAACTATCGCAAATACAGTCTAAAATTGAACTCCATACAGAAAACTGACCAGCTATAGTAAGGGAGGGTCCTCGTACTGACAGCAAGGGATAGCGGTGTGCATGATAGGATCAAACTGGAAGAAGGATCACCAACACTCCATAGAAGATGAAATCAGTGTAAATTTAGTCACTATGTCACCTTGAGGAAGGAACCCTGCGTGGCCCCGAAATGTTATCTTGGCTGTATGACGCTATGTAAATACATTTACAGTCATTTTATCTTCTTTGGGGTGCTGGTGACACTTCTTCCAGTTTGAACGTAGTTAATACCAACATGTGCGAAAAATTCACAACGTTTTTAATTGCGGCACTTAGAGGGCTAGTTCACACCATCAGCAGTGCGTTCCGGTGCGATTCTGGACTGGAACGCACTGCCCGCATTGCGGCCGGCTCCCTAATATGCTGCAATAAATTTTTTTAATGCACCGCACGGAAAGCACTGCAGGTACAATGTGCCTTGCGGTTGCGTGCGGGCGCTCGCATTGCGGCCACAGGGCGTGGCTACTGTGTCATTCACTTGAATGGCCCGCCACGCCCCCTCCTGCCCAGCAAAATAGGGAGCCGAAACCGGAACGCACTGCTGATGGTGTGAACGAAGCATAATATGTACCTATGGCTGCAACAGATTCATAGCAAATACACATTGGTGCTGTTGGCCCACATCTTCACTGGTTAGTAGGATGTTGTCAGCTGCACAGGGTCCTTGGTTGCTGGGACAATGTCGGCCGCAGAGCACCATAACAACCAACGATGCTATGTTGATGGTGTCATAGCAATCAATGATCCCGTGCACCTACGGGCCACAGTATGGACACACCAGCCTCAGTGTTGCTCTCCATGCGACAAATTCACATACCAACATCTGTCACGCAGTGCTGCAATGGAATTCTTACGAGTGACTGAGACACCCAAGGAAATGCAAGGATTGCAAGAAATTAAAAGGTGCGATAACATTTTAAAGGTTACATATGAAGTAATTTGGTGATCTATTTTTTTTGTTACATTCTTACATAATAAAGTTATTGACATTTTGCAATCAGCAACATTATCTATGTTGGCTTTATTTATTGGAGATCAAAGGAATACATATAAATTCCTATAAAGCAACATCATTTTCTTCACTGAAAATATTTAGGATATACATAATTACAGATATGTCTGTGAAGGTTCTCACACATCCAGGTCATGGTGTATCTGTAAAAAATAAGTCAAGACAACTGGACTTGCTGTATTTTTCTTGAAGACGTTTCGCTGGATCACCCAAAAACTACAACTGGTTCACCCAAAAGACCCACTACCAAAACACAAGATGAACAACATTGTGTATGCAGTCCAGTGCAGTGAGGAGTGCTCAGAATTGTATGTCGGTGAAACAAAACAGCAGCTACACCAGCGTATGGCACAGCATAGAAGAACCAAACTCTCTGGTCAGTATTTAGCAGTGGGGGGGTGAGACATCTATTGTCTGCCACGTACAATGCTGTTTTAACACCTCTGTCTGGGCAGGTTATTAACACCTCCTAGCTTCAATTATGCAAAGGCAATCAACACCTGGTTGCGACTAAGTGTGGATTGGAGCAACATTCACCATATTTATTCCCAGATAATTTTTTGTACAAGTCATTCTGAATTGAGAAAGCTGGTGGGATGACCAGCGAAACGTCTTCAAGAAAAATACAGCAAGTCCAGTTGCCTTGACTTATTTTTTGCATATATAATTACAGATAATTAAAAGAATTATTCCTCATGCAACAGTAAACGTACGGACATTGGGAAAGCACACAGAAAACGGAGATTGATAGCGTGCACATTTGAGAGCAGGCTTTTGCACTTTGGTACAAACCTCATGTCAATGGCCTGTAGAATTGTGTTTGCTTGATTGCTGGCATCATATATGAGGATCCTGAAATCGCTTATGGTTACGTAGGCTCTCTGCCATCCCTTCTTTACTCCAGTTGGCTTAGGGACCTAAATACAGCTTATATTTGTTACACGCTCAGTATTTACAGTCTTTGCAATATTTTATCCCATCTATTCAAACCAGTACTAAAAGTTACACCAAATATGAAAAAATACCATAATAAAGTAGGGCTATATAGACATATGTCAAGGCACATAGCATCAATCCCTCACATTTTCTGTCAATAGTGTCAATGCTCAAAGTAGACTTCCTGGGAGAAATATACTATTAGCTATTGTGTTCTACCAACATTTCTAGCTGCAATAGGACATCATACAGCTCAATCAGCTCGTGAAACCAGCTATTGCAAAATGACCCAAGAGAAACAGAAAATTGTTTTATTTCCATCACTGAGCATCCCTCAGCAAAGCAATATAAAACTATGAAACAGAGCTAAAGAAAACTACTCCAGTGTCTATTGCTTTCCAAGAAGAAATCCGAGGAGGAGACTCTCCCTTGAAAATCTATCTCACTAGACAGGTAGCAGCACCTTGGCACAATTTATTAAACATACTTCACCGCATTCACTGCTGGTCTTTTTTAAAATTACCCTATGAGGTCATATTCAGGTCCTCAAACATTAGGAGATTTATGCAACACATAATACAATGTAGTCATGATGTACAGATCCAATCAGAGAAGACCTGTACCTTGTGATCGCTGTGAACCAATCACAGCCAAGTGTAAACACAAGTTGTGGTTACAAACATGTAGTCCACTAACAACAGAGGTAGCTCACCTTCCTTCTTTGTGAATAGGCTGAATGTTTGTAAACTCAGGCAGGAAGATCATGGTGGCTCGAAGGTGAAGGAATGGGGGTTAAAGTGCCTCGGACCACCAACAATGATATGTTTTTGTTTTTTATAATGGGGGTTAAAAAGCCAGTGACCAACAAGGACTGTGGGATTTTTTTTTTTTAAAGGTATGTTTGCGTGTGTGTGTTTAAAGGGCCACTGACGACCAATGATTGTGGGATCTTTTTAAAGGTGGGGATTGGGAGGGGGGGGGGGGGGTTTAAGTGCCAC